CCTAACATGCCATATATATCAGTTTACCCCAAGAAACTTTATTTACAAGCTTACCACTGTCCTCCACGTTCTGCTCAGCATTAGCATATGTACGAAGAAACTCTGCAAAAGCCCCATCTTGCTCCAGCAGCTCCTGGTAGGATCCCATCTCAGATATTTCTCCATCAGTCATCACCAGAATCGTATCCATTTGAGGCAGATAGTTGACTGCATGGGTTACCAAAACCCGTGTCTATACACCAAAAGAGGAAAAAAAAATTACTCCAGCATCTCAAAACACTAAATAGCAGTCTTGAATCATGTGCATAGTACAGTAATAAAGACAAGCATGCAGCATTTTTAAGAAGGTGGGGGAGAGTTGGTCCTTGCCTTTTGAGTTTTCCTTCATAGAATTCCGAATTACACAACTCAGTATATTTCACTACAGAAATTCAAGAGTATTATAGAAATCCCCTTAAAATATCAGAAGAATCACTTCTATTTTTTCCAAATGCTTAGAAGAAAGTCTGGAGATGCAACCTGTCAAACTTGCATTCATTTTAAATCAGAAAATAAAATAAATTTGATCCCCAGATATATGCACTCTTATTATTACATACTTTATTTTTCAGGATCCCTTTTGGTCCAATAACTTTTTCAAAAATGTGTTTCCCAACATGGGCATCAACAGCTGATAAAGGATCATCAAATAGGTAGACATCTGCATTACAGTAGACCGCCCGAGCCAAACTAACTCGCTGTTTCTGTCCTCCAGACAAATTCACACCCTGAGGAGATAAGAAAAAAATCCTTTATTTACAGCTAAAGTTTATTGTAATAATTTGTGAACGACAAGTGAGAGATTAACACAAGTTAGGGAATAGCTGCAGCACAGTGAGAAACACATCTTTACCGGAAATTATTTTACTACTACAATATCATGAGCAATCATGGTCAAAATTCTCTCTTGCAAACAAGTTTACGAAGTTCTTTTTAATGAGAGGTTAGTCAGAAAAAATATGTATACAGTTTACTAGTCTTGTAAGGCAATAAACTCAGGCAAGAGATTTTATACATCCAGAATTTACTTCTGCTGTGCTGCCTCTGACCTAATAAACAAACTCTGCACTCCCCTCTCCCATTCGGTTGCCCTGCTTCCTACTCTGTTTCCTATAAGGGACATAAAGCTGCATTGCTGACTGAATCTGGACCTGGTGCTGTCACTCTGCAGCTATACCTCACCTAGAGCATCTAACTAGTCAGCAGGCAAAACACAGGTGCTTATGTTCTAATACATTTTTTAATTCTAGCAATTAGGAGAGCAAATATCAAAAAAAAACACCTATTTTTGTATGTTTTCCCTAGTTATAGATAGATATATAAAACTTTCCAAAGCATTATATAATTCCACTTAGAAGCAGAATTGCCACCGTCAACTTGGCAGCCACTGCAGATCTTCATCCCCTAATGGTCTCTGCCAATCCAAAGGAGAAATATTAAATTACTTAACCAATGAAGAAAAAAACTCGACAAATAGAAAGCCTAAGTGTAGCCCCACACTCCGTAAAACATTATGAATTAGTAATTCATACCATACCACAATGTTCCTACTCTACAAGCAGCAGTGAGAAATAGAATTGTTCCTTAAAAATCAATAAAGCAGACAAAATATGAAATTTGCAGGAAACCCTCCTCTTATGCTTGAAAAGTTTACAATTTCTGGAACAAAGGCTGCATTGTATTTAAAGAAAACATTGTACCACACATTCTGTGACTAAATGATTTTCTGAAGTTCTCAAAATCTTGTGATTTCTGGCAGTCTTGCAAATAAAATGAGCATTTCCATTTCAGTTAGTGTTATTGGAGTATCTTAAATAATGTCTGTAGGTTACTTCCTATGTTCATAAGGTTGTGTCAGACACAAAGAAGAGGAAGTAGATTTTCTCATGTTGAAAATAACACATTTTTCTTACAATCTAAGATGTTTGAAACTCACTTATTACAACACTATCAATTAGACATAATATCCGAATTATCAATTCTGACACTGCAAAAAGCCAGAAACCTGGATAGCTATGGAAACTACTTTGATGTTTAGCACTTGTTCAACTTTCCTGAAAAAAGAACCATAGGAAACTATATGACCTGCCTATGACTGGACCTCAACGTGCTGAACCATGTCTCTTCTACAATAGCTGCAGCTCAAAAATACTCAGCACCTGAGAGAGATGTTATGGGGTACCCTAGAGAGCACGTGGGCACTCCCACTCTCTGGGGCATGAACAGAAGTTGTGTACTTTTAACTACAGGCCACAGCACCGTAACAGTTCAGTGGGTACTTAAATACCTTCTCTCCTATTTCCGTCCTGTCTCCCGAAGGGAGGAGCTCTATATCGGGCAGCAGCGCGCAAGCCTCAACCACACACTTATAGCGGTTCTCGTTCTTCTCCCTTCCAAAGATAATGTTGTCTTCCAGAGTCGCATTTTGGACCCAGGCTTGCTGAGGAACGTAGGCCACTGAGCCCTGTAAGGAAAAACAAGTCACCCATTCAGTACTTCAGCCTAACTGCACCGCAGGGCAGCTAGTGCTAAGCACCTTCCAAACTGCCTGGGGCCACTTCCAAGCCACCAGAGGAAGCAAACTCCTAAGGAACTGCCTCCTCCTATCTGCTATTTATACAAGTGAACGTCCAAAGCAGGCTGGTGAAAAATAAAAGACTTCAAACAATTCCTCTAACATAAACTTAGAGGGAACATTTGTTTAGAGAATACGTTTGCACAATTACTGAATGTCAGAAGTCATTAAGGCTTTTCACTTTCATATAGTTATAAATTATGTGCTGCATAAAACAATTTAATCTGGAATGCAAGTGTGTTTAACCATACAACCCTGCCAAGAGATTTCTACAGAAGGTAGCAGAGGAAGCTATTATGTACCGAGTCCCCTCTAAGGAAGGGATTGGGTTCCTGTATTTGGCTGTAAAGAATGCTTCTGCCTGTTGCACAAATAATTACTGCTTAATTTTTCCAGCAAGTTCTAGAGGTGATCAAGTGTGCATTTTCTCTACTGAATAGGTTAATTTATTTTGTTGTTAAAACAAGCCTCCTTACATATATTAAAGCAGCAGCAAAATCCACACCCCCCCCTCAATTTTTTCTTTTTCTCTTCTTTCCAGGCCTGTTTTGATCTGCAGGCTATGTGCAACTTTGATACCCAAGAAAGAACAAACTACAACAGCAACTTCTCGCTTGGGCATTTGTGTGTTCCCTCTTTCCTTGCAATTCTCTAGCATCTAAAAAGGTACAAACTAATACTGCACTACTTCTTGCTAGAGTATCTCTCCCTATAGCTAGCTGTCCACAAGATTCACCAGAACACCTGCTTTTGAGATTTCCATCATCCTGTCTACTTTAACTAAATCTGAAATGAATAGGTTTAGAAATGATTGGGTCAAAGCTGAACAGACAGAAATACACAGAGCACAGATTGGGGCATAAACACAGTTTACCATGAAAATAGCTTAAAAATGAGTTCATCTGAAAGGCTGTCTCTGCACACCTCCTGCAAGTTCACAATCCCTTCAGAAACGCCCAAATACCCGCAAGTAGCCAACCAGTCCTCCAGGCACGTCACACCTTGACAACCACACAGCCTTCCTTTTTGTCCATCTCCCCCAGCAGCGCAGACAACAACGATGATTTCCCACAGCCAACTTGACCAACAACAGCTATCAGCGAGCCCTCTGGAACCATGAAGTTAATGCTGAAATAAGGAGTACAGAATTTTCTTAAACACATGGAAAATGCAAATCTCTTGTTCAGAAAGCATTCACTTCTACTTAGGCAATAGCATCTTAAAAACAAACAAAAAATCCACAACACAGGGCACAGTGCTTCCACAGCACTTATGCAAACACGTAAGGATGATTTTCAAATAGCCTCCTCGTCTTAAAGGTTATTCAGTTTAAGAGCCCGCAAGCAGCAGCCAAACTCAAGGGAGGTGATAAGGCACAGGGAAGACATGGTTTCTAGCCACATCGCCCCAGTTCCCTTATTCCTAGTACTGTGTGAATTGGCAAATCTTAAGGGTTCTTCATTGTTTTTATTCAGTGCTGGAACTGAAGAGGGCTACAGGTCTGAAGATATCATTTTAAAAGGGAAGAGTGAGAATATGCTGCAAGCATTAAGGACTAGGGATAGTTGGGAGAGGACAATCTGGCTCCATCCTCTAGATGGAGCTCATCCCCTCCGCAGTTGGAGCAAGAGCTTCAACTCTCTGAAGCTTTCCTTCCTCCCACTACACCGCTTGCTGCTCAGCCCCTCACCTTCTGATTGTAATGTACTTTCTAAACGGTCTCTAGTTCATGAAACCCCAATTTGCCTTCCTGTTCCTTTAAGGAAACAAGCTGTTAAGCATATATACTTTAAAATTTAAATACAAATCATTTATGATGCAGCAATATTACAAGGCAAGAACAAAGGGTACCACTTCTTACCCGTTCAGTGAAGGAGGATCACTTTTGGACCAGCTGAACGTTGCATTCTTTACAATAATGCTTCCTTCCACTGGCGAAGAGAAAAGTCATATTTATACAAGTGCAATTTAAGCAGCTAAACTGAATGTTGTAGATTATGCCACAGAAGAAAGTCTAAGCACTCAGGCACACATATAAAGCTATTTTTTAAACAGAATTCCAACAGACTGCTGTTTACGAGCAGTCAGTGTTCTGCTTAGCAGAACTGCAGAGGTTTTGAAAACACGCCTATGAAAATACACCACCAGGAGGTAGGTGAATATCCAAGGTCACAAAGATACCAACTTACTCAGTTGCCCCCTTCTTTATCTTGCAATTCCTCTGCAGCACTGCGAAGCCAGCTCAAGAGGCCAGCAGCCTTAATCTGACTTGTGATTCAAGCAAAGCATCAGCTAAACTGCTGCTTTCAGGTGCAAAGCTGAGTTATCACAGCAGTGGCAGGACAAAAGATTCAAATGACCAAATAAAACAACTTCCAACTAGAAGTGCAGTTCAGTGAAGTGTTGCACAGTAAGAGCATAATTAGAGTTCTACAAGGACAACTCAAAACATACTACTTCTCATAAAACCAAGTAGGCAATAAATACTTAGCCTTGGTGAGTTTTGACATAAACATGCAAGTAACTAGCCATTTTGAACAATATTTATTTTTGAATTCACATTTAAGATCTGAGAGTCAACTACTTGTACTTACCAGCTGACAAAGGGGGAAAACATGTTCCCAAAAGGAAGAGGGGGTAGGAAAGACAGCAGAGTTGACCTGCCTACAGGATGCCAAATGAATGAAATGTCACAGAGCTCAGCTAACCATGTGACAGAAGGGGATGGGGATTTTACTATCTTTATTAAAAGGAATTAAGAAAAATTGTCTAGATGTGACTGAAGTAGTTAAAAGAAATTCCATTTTTGTTCTGCAAAAAAGAGCAGTAGTTTTTCAGTGAATTCTGCACTCCAATGACATTCAGATGCAATGTAAAATTTGCAACTGGCAACGTTACGCTCAGGACAGCGAGAAATTAAGTTCTTTGCACAAAATAAAGAGGAGTCACTTGCCAGTACCGAGACTTACTCTTTCTTTCAGGAGTGCCAAAGCGTTACATGATCATTCTTCCCCACTGCTGGGTTTTTCCATGTCATTAATTATCCTCTAGCTTCCACTGCTGCATGGAAATCTATGCAATTTGCTACAAATATCTCCTGGGTGCACTTAAAACAGTCTAAGAAGTTGTTTCTAAAGTGATAATCTGCATCTGGATGCAACCATTCTAATCACCCGAGATGGAGATAGAAATACAGAGTTCTCATTTTACAAATTCCTTTCTCTGCTGCTTAGCTGAAATGAATCAATTAAATGAACAAAGTACAATAATTTCTTAGAGAAATCAAAAGAAACACTGCAGACACACCAAGCCTACCATGGTTAATTCTCAACACAGAAAGAAACTCACCATTTTTGATGGGACCCCTGATTATGCTGCTGGGATCTAACTCTTCATGAGACAGGAACACCCTGAGGCGCTTCAGTGAGACACTGGCCTATATGAGAAAAGGATGGAAACCTTTCTTATACCTCATTCATTATATTTATGAGTTTCTGTTTTTATATCACATATGCCTTATACTATTAGGCACTTCCAAACCCTCCTTAAAACCAGTTTGTAGTTTCCTTCAGAGTCACCAAATTCACACTTCTCAAAACAAGAAATAACTGCTTTTGGGAACATCCATCCGCCATAACCAGACTGATAATTTTGCTTGTACAGCACTTCACACACAGAAAATGCAAAGTTTCTTTTCTGAGGTACCCAAATATGACCCATTTACATTCTCTAAGCACAAGAACACAGTTTTTGCACAGAAAAACCCATTAATGACACAAGTCTTACTTCTACTATGCTGCTGATGACCATAGGAAGAATGTTCAGTGGAAACCTGAGGATGTTGAATAATGCTAACGATACAAATGCCTTCTGAGCATCCAAGACGTTGTTTTTGTCTATCATTACATACACAGCAAACGTGGACAAGGCAACCTGAAATACAAAATATAATGCCCACAGTTAGAGCGGCCTTTTCAACCATGAATGGCAGAGCCATAAAGTCCAAGAACTGTAGTGAAAGGTCTACAAATCTATTAGGGA